ACCTGGCAAGAGCTTGTAGAATTTAAACGCGGGACGGAGGAGCTGCTGCACTACCACCAGCGTTGTGGCTTTTGGATTGATCAGCAGGGCACAAGGGATATACGTTGTAGTGAAAGCATTGCTTTCCCACAGTTCATCTTTCGCCCTTTTTGCTCTAAATACTCTTGTTGTGGACAGCCACCTTTTGGCCCCGAGTACTTTCCATGCATTGCCCCCTCTTCTTCACACAGGGTGTGACTTGAAATTTCATGGATTTTTTCTTGTTGCTGCTAGGAACAAGCATCAAACTTGGATAGAACACGACAAGAAAGCCCCTTGATGAAATCTCAAGCTCCCCAGGATTTGAAAGAACAGAGAAGTACCTCCAGCCTTGTACTCTTTGCTGCTAATCAAGAGCGTGCCTGGATCAATTTAATCTTCAATGCTCAAACAAGCCATGAAATCTTCATTTCATAATGGTTTCTTTCTTGAGCTTGACAACCACAGAAAGGATGACAGCCTTATAAAACGTTCGCACGGGTTTAGAAAGGATGCTTAGAAATGAGCGAGAGCTTGCGCCGTTATGGTGAAGGTATGATATACGTTAAGAAGCAATTAGTGTCCGATTTGGACGGGAACCTGACGCAAAAATTTTTGATTGGATCTCGCAAAAAATTTTGATTGCGTCTCTGGCTGTGGATTCGAACCTGTGACCTTGCCAATATATTTGTTTATTCTAGCCAGATATCCGGCCAACAGGTTCCCGTCCAAATTAAACATTAATAGCCTGTTAAAGTGTTTCGCTTGTTTTTGATTTTGAGTGAATGGCACGCGTGCTGATTTCTTGTTCCGTATCAATCACGTGGGCAAGGTCGCGCGAACGTTTCCAAGCCTCTCTTCTTGGTTCCAGGATTTTTTTTGGAGCAAAATTTGTTTCTCGGAACAAGAAAAGTTTCTGGAAAATGAGCAAGTTTGATTTGATCCAAGCACCCTCTTGAAGAGCAGAGTTGAGAGGCATCTGGAAATGTCAAGAGTGCTGGAGGTTGGGGTATTTATTCGTTTCTCTCTTCTTTGCAAGATCAAATCCTCTGGCCATGTTCAAAACCATGAAATTAAATACTCACTCCCAAAAACACGAGAGGCACATCCCTGATTTGGTGCAACTGTTTAGACTCAGAACCTGAGGGTTGATGCACCAGTGATTCCTTTGTTATTCACTGCAGCCTGTGAGAGCCTTGATCGAGCGTCAGGTGAGAGCAAAGAAGAAGCATGACAAGCGGTGGAATGATACAACACAATGCTCTGCAAGGACCCACGTCGAGAAGAAAGGCTACGCTCTCGCTCAGCTCCACTCTTTCTTACATGAGGTTGGCACAAGCGCGGCAGTCAAACGCTGCTCGAAAGTGTGGAGCAGCGTATCGTTATCCAGGTCGTCAGTAGTCCTCGGCCATTCGCTATTTTGACGAAGCATGTAGGAGGAGCTAGTGGTGGATTCAAACTTGGACACCCCCTCTAGCTGAAATGCAATGATACTTTCGTAGACAAGGCTGCATTGCGAGTCACGCGGGCTGCAAGTTTAAGCTCCTCTCCTCGTCCAAACCCGCTGGCGTTCAAGCGAGCAATGCTGAGACGCGTTCCAGCATGACTTTAAAGCAAAAGGAAGAGTCTGGGCTAGATCGACACACTGACCATGATCATCGTGGCTGCTGCTGCTGCTCAAGCACTCCAGCAAATTCCATAAAGACCCACCGCAAGCGAAGTAAAATTTAATTGGGTCTCTGGCTGTGGGTTCGAACCTGTGACCTTGACAATAATTGTTTTTATTTTAGCCAGATATCCCGTCCAAATTATGCATTAATAGCTTGTTAACGTGTTTGTTACTTTCATGAATCGTTTCTTGAAATTCTGGGCATGGCGCTCAGCTGGCACGCGAATGTTTCCCATCAGTTTGATTTGATCCAGGCACCCCCCTCAAGAGCACCGGTGCGTTCTGCCCAAGAGATTCGAGTTGCAAGGCATCTGGAAATGTCAAGAGTGCTGAAGGTTGGGGGTAGTTGTTTCTCTCTTCTTCGCAAGAGGAAACCCTCGGGGAGCTTAATTCGTCAAGACACCACCCAAAAGCTTCCAGTCTGATGCTTGTTCCTATAGAAAAACCATGTTCAAAACCATGAAACAGAACAGAACATCTTTGAGTTGGTGCAACTAACTTAGACTCAGAACCTAAAGCTTGTTGCATCAGTGATATCCACTGTAGTCTAGTCCCGAGTACGTTGTGAGAGCCTTGATCGAGCATCAGGTGAGAGCAAACAATTCCTCAATAAAGAGCTGATTGCAGGTTTAGACTCTGCATAGCTGATGGCTGACAAGAGAAGAAGCATGGCAAGCGAGGCGATGATACAACACAAGGATCTGCGAGGTTCGAAGAAGTCCCTCAACTGCTCCTGGGTACGTTAAGCCACTGCGAGCGTGGTAAGGGACAAGGAGAAGCTTTAAAACGTGACTCCACTAGCCTAGTCACACCCACAAGCTTATGCGAAGCACTGCACTCGACACATCACTTGGCGAAAATCGAAAGGTGGCAAAGATGAGGAATGAAGCTCAAGACAGTCTCTTGTGCGTTCCTGAGCGATCTGGACAAGAGTATATACATACCGCTTTAAATCACAAAACCAATGCTTGTGATGCTTGCTTTGCGAGGTATTGTTTGAAGGCTTGTCTTGGTTTGAGCCAGACCGGATCATCCAGCCAAGCGCAGCAGACAAGCGCTGCTCGGGTGAGGAACTTCCTTGTTGGAATGCGAGTGAAAGTGCGGAGCAGCGTATCGTTATCCGGGTCGCCCAATGGTGGCAGCGTCACCTCTGCTATCGCTGTCCTTGCGCCATTTGCTATTTTGACGAAGCTTACATGTAGTTAACGAATGGTTCCATCGCATTGTTCTTGACGACGAGGAGGAGACGCTGCTCTGATCGTCATAGATTCCTCGCGAATTTCGTCATGGAAACGTATGGAAAGTGCGGGCGCGCCGCGGATGCCTTGGGTGTCCTCCACAAAATGGAAGATGGAAATGTTTTCTTCTGGAACGCATTTGCCCACAGCAGGCAAATGCCAGAAGTTCTGGTGCTCTTTCGGCAAATGCTCGTCGATATCGAATTCTTGCAGCTATCAATGGCGATGTGGCGGAGATCCAGGTGAGAAACACATGGTGAGAAACACCAGGAACCTCGACTTAAGTTGGCAGAAGGCCCCGCTCCAGGCCTGGTTGAAAGACTACTGCTGGAGGGTAAATCAACCACGGCCTTTGGAGGACGCCATACCCCTGCTGTCTGATCTCCTCGCAATCCTGGAGCTGAGACAATAACACCGTCACCATCTTTGGCTTGTCGTTGTAGTAATTGGAGCTTGGGGCGGCGATTCGATTGGGATGTGGCGCCGATCAGGCTGGGATGCCAGTCTCGAGCTCACACGGCAATGCCCTGGTTCCACCCGATGCAAGTGTCTGTCCAGTTCTTGGCAGAAGAAGATCTCGGCGATGGCATGCTCGCCAACGGAGCACCGTAACGCGGCGATGATTAGCGCGTGGATCTCCCCCGGATCGGCATTGATAGCTGCCAAGAGAAATAACTGGATGCTCGAAAAAGAGTAACAAGGGCAAATGCCGCGATCGCAATCTTCCACGAGAAAGAACCTCGATCTTTCATCTTCTGGAAGATTTCCAGCGCCTGCACTTTCCATACCTTTCTATGACCAGATTAGCAAGGAACCTCGAGGCCGCTGGAGACGATTTTCCTCGTGGATGCGCCTTCCCCCTCCCAGATCTGTGCTCACCGCATTCTCGCCCAGGCGCCCACCGCTGGAGATCGCTCCTCCTTCCTGCAAATCTTCGCTGGATGGCACCTCCTCGTCAAGGCTCAAGAACGATGCCATGGAAAACCACCGCCATTGCCATTATACGCTACTGCTGCACATTTTCGATCCAGGGGGCTCTTTACCCGGGCGGTGTGCTGCTGCCGGGCGTGCTCTATGAGTCGAGCAGCATGGTCTTTCTTCTCAGTCTCAGACATCTTCAAACTAGGCTCACAAGCACAAGCACTGCTTTTCCGCGGTATGTGTGGTTCTTCTCGTGCTCATTTTGCTTATACTCTTGTCCAGTCCAGATCGCTTCATTCCTCATCTTCGCCACCCTTTGGCCTCGAGCATTTTCCAAGATAAAATGGAGGCCTGTAGTTCATCAACATCCAAGGCGTGGAGTGACCACAACGCAACTTGTGATGAGATGAGTTGGTGACCTGGTATACGTTTTTTGTGTTATGCCATCTGCTCTTTGGAAACTTTTGAGAAAGCTTGCTCTGAGCTGATTGAGTTTGAGCTTGGTCAAGGCTCTCACAGGTTTATTGGATGTCTGGTGCAACCCTGGAGTTTTGTTTGCGGGTGAGTAAGCTTTCACGGTTTCAGAGCAATATATTATATTATTGCCAAGAGAAGGCATCAAAACTTGGAGCTCCAGAGTCTCACGCCCCGAGGATTTGAAAGGATCCAAACCTATGGACCTCCAGCTTGGACAACCAAGTGAAGAATAGATTCCCGGGACCATGGTGCCGGGATCAAATCAAACTCGAGCTCAGACAAGCCATCTTCCAGAACAATATCTTAAACGGATGTTGCTGGTTCTTGTTGCAGCATACTTATACTTTGTTTCTCAAAAATAGCTTCTGCATCAGCTGCTTGCTCAGATTGAGATGCAGAGTCCATCCAACCCGTTTTGTTTGCCATGGCCTCGCCAGAGCATGGAGAAAGTGAGAGTTTCATTCCATCGAGAAGAGAATGGTTTCTTTCTTGAGCTTGACAGCAGCAACGCGCTGCGCGCCATGCGCCCACAAAACGAAAATCTCTTGCGCCGCTGTTTACATTATGGTATACGTTAAGAAGCAATTAGTGTACACTTTGGACGGGAACCTGATGGCCGGATATCTGGCTAGAATAAAAAAATATATTGGCAAGGTCACAGGTTCGAACCCACAGCCAGAGACCCAATCAAATTTTTTTGTATGAACGAGGGATTTCTCTTCTCCGCAAAGTCGCTCTCGGCAGCGTTGCTGGAGCTAAATCTTCTCTCGTGCCGATCCCCCCGAATGATCCACGCCGCCGCGCCGGGTTCAGGCTCTTGGATCGCGCGATATTCCCTTTCGCTGGCAAATGCGAGCAGCAAGAACAGGGCATTCGATCGATGCGGCGTCAATCTTGTTCGATTAGGATCGTCTCCTGGAACGCGATGGTCACCGCGTATGTGGCGGCATCCCGCATCCGAGAGTGAGAGTCTATGTTTGATTGCGTCTCAGAGCGCCATGGAACTCGATGATAATGGCTCTCGCGCAGCAGGGGCAAATTGTGGCAGCGAAATCGAGCTTGGGCAAAAACGCCGGCCAAGGATCTCGTGTCCTGGACGAATCTACTGCCCAGAATGACAGGACGTTCCATGGGTTCCCCTTCCAGCAGTGAATAGCAGAGGAAGAAATCTTTGATTTCATGCCGGATGAAGACGGTATTGATTCGGCCAGTAGCTGCTCTCCAGGATCCGCGCGTGGATCCTCTGGCCTCGCAGCCCCTGGATGTCGTCCACGTGGACAATCAGATGGATTCCAAATCTTGTTTTTCAAATAAGAGGTGCTGAAATAATATTTTGTTATCTCCCAGTGTTCATGGCTTTGTGGTTATAGCATGCACGCTGTAATGTTCTATTGTGAAGGGTTGCTGGGTTCGATTCCCATCCGCCTCGACTTTCAATTAAGAATAATACGGTGTTAGGGTCGCCCCCTAACATGAACACTATTTTATTATTTTATTATTAAATTAACTGTGTTGAGTTTCTGGACCATTTTATTATTTTCCTTTTTTTTAACACTATACAATCTACTAGTGAGAGTGGCTCTCCTCAAAATCTCACCTAAGATTAACTGTGTTGTTAAGTTGGTACTAGATCATAGTAAAGAAGCAAAACCAAACTTGTAATCAATGGAATCCATTATTACAGACTTAAACAAACAGATCATTAAAAAGTATTAACTTAGGTGCATCTCCACTGTACTCATGCAATCAAATTTTGTGGAAGGGAAGATATATATATTTGATTTGCTCCAGTAGCACACAAACAGCACAAACATGCCATTGAGCTTACCAATTCGATCATATATACCAAATTCTCATCAGTTGTCACTTCAGCATAATCTATCAATCACACACAATGTTGTGCCATTGAATTCTCGATGACCCTGCCAGCATATGCAAGCCTTCCTCACCATTTGAACAAGAAAGACGCTAGACAACAAGCTAGAAATAGTGAATGAGAATGAACTTTTAAACGCAGTTTATATTAGTGGTAACTACAAACAAATAAAAGGTTAAGAGCGATACATCACAGCCGTTGGATTAAAGGATATCTTAGAATATACCATCCAAACCGTTAGATTTTAGTGCGGCTACGGTTTCGCGCTGTGCAGCGGAAAGCTGCCATCTCTCGATGTTTGGGTGGCTTGAATCCCTCGGAGCTCTCCATCCGGTTACACCCAGACAAAGGCGACGTTTTCCATCCCCTCTCTCTCCCCCCTCAAGAGCACCGGTGCGTTCTGCCCAAGAGATTCGAGTTGCAAGGCATCTGGAAATGTCAAGAGTGCTGAAGGTTGGGGGTAGTTGTTTCTCTCTTCTTCGCAAGATGAAACCCTCGGGGAGCTTAATTCATCAAGACACCACCCAAAAGCTTCCAGTCTGATGCTTGTTCCTATAGAAAAACCATGTTCAAAACCATGAAACAAAACAGAACATCTTTGCGTTGGTGCAACTAACTTAGACTCGGAACCTAAAGCTTGTTGCATCAGTGATATCCACTGTAGTCTAGTCCCGAGTACGTTGTGAGAGCCTTGATCGAGCATCAGGTGAGAGCAAACAATTCCTCAAGAGCTGCTTGCAGGTTTAGACTCTGCATAGCTGATGGCTGACAAGAGAAGAAGCATGGCAAGCGAGGCGATGATACAACACAAGGATCTGTGAGGTTCGAAGAAGTCCCTCAACTGCTCATGGGTACGTTAAGCCACTGCGAGCATGGTAAGGGACAAGGAGAAGCTTTAAAACATGACTCCACTAGCCTAGTCACACCCACAAGCTTATGCGAAGCACTGCACTTAACACATCGTGTATTATCCAAAAACCCAGGCTCAGGGGACTCCGACTTTGAACCCAGGGCTGCATCGGAGCCATAGATTAAATCATGCACAGCATATAGTATATGCTAGCAGTTAGAACCGCTAGCCTTTCAAAAGAGGGAATCCGAATTGTGGATCCCTATCTCCATTCCATCATTTTTCTTATTAATACATAGCATTCTTTTATTCGTGCTTCTTCTCTGCCCTTGGAGATTGGGCTTTTTTCTCTTTTGTTTTCTTACTAACAATAGATTTCCAGCCAAGAGGAGTTTTCACACCTCTTCATTTGGCAACCACGGCTTTTGAATTCCCCTTTAGGTTCACAAATTCTTCTAGCAAGAACGATCAAGCAATCTACCCAACTCGCCAAAATTCGCTACCCAATTTGCCACCCAATTTGCTACCCAATTCGCCACCCAATTCGCCCAAATTCAACAAACAAATGCCACCACCAATATGGATCAACGGCGTCCAAGCGATCGCCGCCCAACGCAGTAGAGGCAGACCCTTCTCAGAGGAGATCTTTGCAGAATCTGAAAGCTCTCTCTCTCAATCTCCGAGTCCAATCACCAACAAAGACCACCAACAGCCCTCTTTGACAAGAAACTCCAATCTACCAGCACCTTCATCAGCGGACACCCTCAACAGCTTCATTGGCGAACTCCATCTCCGAGCACAAGACCACCCACTCCAAGCTCGAGACCTCAACCAGCGCGCTCGACACAAACCGACACCACTGCTGAAACGAACTCATCTTTTGTGCAGTCGTCGACCCAGCAATCCTAGTGCTCCGACACAATTCCAATTCCTGCGTCCACTCCAAATACCGAAGCACATCCTCAGAACCTACACCAATGACGAACCCATCACTCTATTACCTGGTATCAGAGAACTTGTCGAGGGACAACTTGACAACGCACCACCAATTTTTCGACAACCCCTCCGATAGAGTCAGCAGCTCAGCACCAAAACAACAGTCCGAACTCGGTTCAAAATCAACACGTTCGCTGCAACAACTCTTGCCAATCACGCCATCGCCCAATCCGGACTCGAACAACTCGACGACATTATCGAAGAAATCATTCCAGACAAACCCAAATATCCGAAACTCTTCATCAAACTCCATCTCGGCACCAGCAAGTGGAAGACCAGCCTGCATACTGCACTAGCACACTCGACCCAACACAACTCGGCTGAACACAACCCAACCCAACACGCACCACCGTCAATATTTGCACAGAAAAGAAATAACAACCTCACAACAACTTTATCGACAATTGGCCCGCCGACAGTCTTCCCGAAGTTCTACCTGAACTGCATGATTGACTGCAGACACGAATCTGACACTGACAACCAGTAGAAGAATGCATGTATCCAAAACCACGAAGAACATCCAGCAAGTCGGAAGAAGACCGACAATGGCTTATCCGAAGTTTAGATAGAGATTTGAAGAATTTAGAAACAAAGAGAAAGAAAGACTAAGAGAAGTTGAATCAAATTGTTAGACCCTCCAAGAGATAAAATTACATCCGACACAAATTATTACCGCGAGCTAACTCCAACAAACCAGTATTGGACATCTGCGAAGAATACGACGAGTACACAACACCATCGGACACACCACCGGCAGCACCCTCGATGGCACCCACCAAAGTGCCCGAGCCTAAATCAACACCCTCGATGGCACCCACCAAAGTGCCTGAGCCCGACTGAACATTTGAGTAGTCGACACAGGCTACGCCCGAGCAACAAAACATTTTTCAAGCAGCATACAACCACTTCAAAGGTACATTCACCAACCCCATCTACAGTGATGACGAACGACCAAGTTTCCCACCCAGCTTCACAGACTTCACCAGACCAGCACCATTTTTGCCATACTGACCGATATTCACAACACCAATATATCCCACATTTGCTTCCAACATCTACTGAAGCCCACTATCAGCAAGACCTTTCGAACACGCTTTCAACTTCAACGCGCTGACGAGACAACAACTCGACTTCACCAATTACAGTCGCACTCCGATATACCCAATCAACAGCAGTAAAGATGAACAACCTGAATCGTCCAATAGTCAAGCACTAGATGTCAACAACTCACACCGAACTGCCGAACAGCTCCAATCATCCAACAACAACGAGATCGACAAACCAATCGTCGATGACAACTATCTTCCACAGCAACCACAATCACCACACAACTATACATTTGAGAAGAACAACCACAACCAAGACAACATAACTTTGACAAATACGTCGACAACAAGTTTGAGCACCATCTTCCCAAAATCAACACCGGCAAGCAACCCGACACCGACGACGACGTCGATGACACACCCAAAAACAGT